CTGCCAGGCTTCCTGCTGAAGTTTTTGCAACGGACGAAAAGAAAAAAGCCGCCAAGCATAAATCACGACCTGGGAAGCTTCAGGCATCTTGAGCCAGTCGTTTGGGAAGCCTTCAGTGTTGAACATATATTCGGTTTGAACTCACTGACTAGTCGTGCGAGTTGACCGGAGCTCAGGTCCTGCCTGGAGCTCACTCTACATCTCTGCGTGAGAGAAAAAAAGCGTGTCTCACCTCTTCTTGCTTTACATCCTGCTAACACTGCCCGCCGTGGTCGGGATAAGACCACTTGATAGCTTTGATGGTCGTTTCGAGTGTGTTACGTTTTGAAGGTCGCATGCGGATCTGATGGCAAAATCCAGAGCCTCCAAACTTCTCTCTCCGCCTCCTTCTCTCTCTCTCTCTCTCGTCCCTCTCGTCCCTCTCATCCTTGTTCATCACATCATCAGACACTTTATCACACACCCACACACACGCATGCCATCTTACCACACACACACACACCTCCTCCCTCCCCTCCGTCTCATCCTCGTCCATCACATCATCACTTATACTGCACGTCTGAGCATAACCGCCTCATATACCTTCTCTCCTCACACTTCGTTCTTGACTTTTCATCTCACTACTCCGTCTCCCATGTGATGTTCATATACATTTGAAACTTGTAAAACTTATCATGTGGGGTTATCCGGTCCTTTTATTGTTGCGTGGAATGTCATGGATCGCAGCAGGAGCAAGGGCTCAACTTGGATTGACCTCCAGCTCCGGTGAATGGAGTTGGTTTCTCTGAGCAAGGTGTTCGAATGGTTCGATGGACAGGAGAAACAAAACGGGCAAGCAAGATGCTTTGGGCATCATTTTCGTCGTTGCCAATCATTGAGCAAGAAAAAGGTTCAGTGTGGGTGTTGGAATGTACCAGTTGGAAAATGATTTGACTGTTGTGGTGGCCTTCAGTGCAAAGGGGCAGCAGCAAGGTCGTAAAAGGTGCACGGGGCTTGCCTGCGTTGGAAATGCATTGCGGTTGCTCGCGCAACCGGCTTAAAAACTGCGCAGTCAGACATTCGAACAGAGAGGAAAAAGTGGGAAAATGAAGGGGGCGCTGCAACCATTCTTGTGGAATCCGTTGACAAAATCACATTTTTAAAGTGCCCCAAAAACAAAAATGCACTGCCACACAAACAAAACACTTGTGCTTTGCGCGCTACATTGTTTCAAACAGTTCCATCGTGTTTAAAGATGCGCAAATTGTGCGGAAAATCTGTGGACACACAAATTTGCACCTGTGTCAGACCTCCAAACGGCATGCAAACGTGACAAACTTGCGCGACTTTGCGTTTGTCATTCTCCATTTGGGCCATGCCAACATGTTAGCCAAATGGCAGCCGTGCAATTTACATTCCTGTTCACAGAACCACTGTTTCTCACGTCGGAAAACACATTTACACATGATGCAAAACCAGCAGCAAAGATGTCCCTGAAACCAGTTTACAAACCTGGCACTCAAGACCTGCTGTTGAACATTCAATGGTGAAGTGGTGTCTCAAAAAAAGATCAAAAAAGGTGCATGAAAAGGAAGGACGGTTTCATCGGTGTTGGACGAAATCATTAAAAACCGTCCAGCAGCCTATGTGCTACAAGTTGAGGACGACTTTGTAAGGTACCTTGACACCAGGTGGGATGACCCTATTTCTTTTTATCGATGGCCTCCAACCTATTTCCTTTTCATGGTGTTGCCGCACTTGGATCTGGAGAGCGACATTCCACAACATGCGGCGACTACACACACACACCGATGTTTGTTACGTCAGCTGTAGCCAGCAATACTACCCCAAACATTTTAATACTGCATTACACTCCATCTCCATTTCAAACTTTATACAGATTGGAGGTCCAATCAATAGCATTGGTAGTAAGCTCAGCTTTTGACCGTGTTTGTGCGAGTGGGTTTGCCAATGCAGAGGAACGTGTGCGAGCTTTGCTGAGGCTCATGGAGCCTGTGTCAATCCTCCTGGCCACAGGCAATGGAACCTACATTCATCTCTTTTGCAAATTTTGTTGAATTTCGATCACATACTATTCGGTATTTTCTCCTTGGATTTTGTCAGTGTTGACTTGCAAAAAGAAGGCATAGCTTTGACAGGAGCAGTTGCAATTTATGCTGCACACAGAGTGGAGAAGATGTCAGAGAAGGCCATTAGCCAGGAGCATGTCACAATTCTAAATTTGTGCTTTTGAAGCTTTTGACAAATGTTATCAACCCTTTTGCACACATATATAATATATAAATATATACACATCGAACTAGCTGAACTCTGCGTTGGCCTGGTTACATAACTTGCCTTTTTGGTAAATCATGAGCAAGGCAAAGTTCCAGAATGATTGTCCGTACTTTGTTGACGGAGTAGGTTTGGTCACATGTGTTTTATTGGAAAACTGTTTGACAACGCAAGATATCACCTCACTTTGTCGTGAGAGACTAAGAACCGGAGCTCAGGAATCCGATGAAAGCAAACTCTCAGTTTCCCCAAAAAACCAGGAACCAAATCTAGGAACAAGGACGCTACTAGGGGCCGCTGGCATCGCAACTAGGAGCAAGGACGCTACTAGGGGCCCCTGGCATCGCAATTAGGAGCAAGGACGCTACTAGGGGCCCCTGGCATCGCAATTAGGAGCAAGGACGCTACTAGGGGCCCTGGCCATACTACTAGGAACAAAAAGCCACTAGGAACAAGGGCATTTCTACTAGTGCGCGCGCTTCTTCAAGGAAGCTCGCCCCTGCCCTCAGGCGGGGGGGAGGTTTGTTGAAGAAGGGTGAGCTATCCTGCGTCCATACTAGTAGCTTAAAGTAGCTAGTAGTTTACTTAATTACTTAAATAGGCGCTTACTTAATTGGGGGAGGGGAGCGGATCAAAGAAAATTGCCAGACCAAGTCACCAAGCCCGCCAGAAAGTCGGGACAAATCACACCGAACGGATGACATTTATCCACTGCTTCCTACAGGAGTGAGGTCAATGCGAACATGGAAACCACACCACATTGAACAATGTGCAATTGTTGGTTCAACTGTGTACAAGCTAGTAGTAACAAGAACACTACAAGGGGCTCCTGGCATCGCTACTAGGAACAAGAAGCTAGTAGGGGCTACTCTGGTCGTTCAAACCCCACAAAGTCACATCATCAAGGTTCTGTGCGAAATGTCCACGAGCGGAGCAAATCTCGAGTCACGGTTTTGCCCATAGGCTATTCCCACAAAAGGGCTTGTCCCTTTTGCCTTTCTTTTGATATTTTTGAGGCCAGACGTGGACCTGTCACTCTACCTGAACTCATGGATGCACAGCAGGCAATGTCAGCCAAAAGCCGTTGAGACAAAATTGAGAGATTTGTGGTGGTTCTATTTCAGTAGAGTTTCTTTTTCAGGGAGGAGCAAAAGAAGGTAAGGGCCCCTTTCGTAGGGCCTCCTCTAGAGGCAGCCTTGTTGATGGGTCCCTTGCCTTTCTTTTTTTCTTGTCTTCTTTCGTCTCGTCAGGTGGATGACGCGGCCCCTGTACAGATCTTGGCTGTGCACGTACAACACGGTCTTTTTCAACGCAAGCTCCAGCGAGAGAGCCTGAAGGCGGGTTCTATCGACTAAAGGGGGATACTTTCTTTCACTCACCCCTTCCAGGATGTATGCAGCAGTAGGAATTTCACTCACTGCACCTGAACATGTGTGAGTCTGAGGCTAAGACTGTTCTATCGTGCTAGTGCTAGTAGAAGAGCAAGAATATTGGAAGCTACAACATTTTCAGATCTAGTGAAGTTCATTCTTGTGAGCCATACTGCATTATTGAGTCATACTGCAAGATTGATTGACTGTTCTGGGTGAGCTGACGTTTTAAGTCTCGCCATGGCCTCCAACCTACTAGCGATGGCCTCCAACCTAAGAGCGATGGCCTCCAACCTACTGGCGATGGCCTCCACCTACTAGCGATGGCCTCCAACCTGCTGGCGATGGCCTCTAACCTAAGAGCGATGGCCTCCAACCTAAGAGCGATGGCCTCCAACCTACTGGCGATGGCCTCTAACCTAAGAGCGATGGCCTCCAACCCAAGAGCGATGGTCTCCAACCTAAGAGCGATGGCCTCCAACCTACTCGCGATGGCCTCTAACCTAAGAGCGATGGCCTCCAACCCAAGAGCGATGGTCTCCAACCGAAGAGCGATGGCCTCTAACGTAAGAGCGATGGCCTCCAACCCAAGAGCGATGGTCTCCAACCCAAGAGCGATGGTCTCCAACCTATAAGAGCGATGGCCTCCAACCTACTGGCGATGGCCTCTAACCTAAGAGCGATGGCCTCCGACCTACTATAGCGATGGCCTCCAACCTACTAGCGATGGCTTCCAACCTAAGAGCGATGGCCTCCAACCCAAGAGCGATGGTCTCCAACCTAAGAGCGATGGCCTCCAACCTACTAGCGATGGCCTCCAACCTAAGAGCGATGGCCTCCAACCCAAGAGCGATGGTCTCCAACCTATAAGAGCGATGGCCTACTGAGAGGAACAGGTGATAAGAACTATTTTTAACCCCGTGGTAGACGTCGGGTTTTCGATGCAGTCAGCTCACTGTCCGGTGCTTGGAAGGTGCGAGTGAAGTACGGAGCTCCCGGCGCCTCCATACATTGTGACACTGCAAAAGTGGCCTGGTTCAAGACATTGGACACACATGGGAATTTGTGTGTAGTATACATGCTTCTTGAATCACTCTGGCAAAACATAGTGCATTCTCTTCACGTTTGTGAGTTGAATGAGATCAACTTGAGTGGGCACAATGAGGCGAGCATGGGTATGGCGCCGTCGCCGACTGCAAGGCCTATTGGAAATGTAGAGGTACTAGTAGTGCAAGAGTACTAGTTACTAGAAGAGTACTAGTAGTCGCCAATGTTGTTGCAGACTTTGTCCTCCTATTGTTGGAAGTGGAGAACCACCGGGTGCAGTGCCATACAGCAGCAGCAGTAGCAGCAGTAGTGGTGCTGATTGTGGGGTTGGGGGCTTCGGTGGTGGTGTTTATGCGGTCTTGTTCTTTGCACCGAATTCGGGAAGTGCATGCAGAAGTACAAGATGTGGAGATGGATCCGGAGGGTCAAATCCAAAAACGAAGGTTTTTGCAGTTCTTTTTCCTTGTTCTTGGCTTGAGGCGAGATATGAAGCCTGCAATGTTTGCACATGTTTCTTGTGTGTCTAGTGGGTGGATCACTGGAAGAAAACTACAAAAAAACGAACGAAATGACAAAACAGATGTAAGAAATTGAAAGAGAACATACACAGCAAGAGATGCAAGAAAGGAACCCAAACTAGATTGTTCCACTAACTTCGACTGCCGGTGATTGCTCAAGTCACATGTCACCCTGGGTTCAGGAAGTGGTAGGACTTCTGTACTGGGGCAGTTCATCCGGGTGGTTCGGCCTTTCTTGTCCTGCTCACTGTTCCGCTTCGACAGCCTACATCCTTGCTTTTGTCCTCACTGGATTTTGTCTTGGATTTTTGGCTGCTTCGTTGCTTGGACTTTGGCTGGCCTTTCGGCCTCTCTTTTCCCCTTGGATTTCTACTGCCTCCACACAGGCTTCCAACCCTTTACCTTCCTTGCACCCACGCCTCTCGGCGTATTTGCATGAACGCCCCTTCCGCCACCAGCATTCTGATTGAGTGTGTGCGGCAGGTGGCTCGTTCTTTGCGGGGCTTGGCAAACTCTCTGGAAAGGGCTGCTGACCGAGCTGAGGGACTTCCAGGCCCCCAGCCTACTCCGTCCATCTCTTCTGATACCGTTGACACGGTTGAGTGGGACTTGATCACTCAGTTGGACGCCCTCAGCGGGCACCCTGTTTCTTCTTCTGGACCTACTCGGTCCTTGGCGGCTAGCTACCACGAAGTGGCATCCAGCATTCCACCTCTGCCTGATCATTGCCTTGATCTTTGCCGCCGGCTTGGAGGAACAGCAGCAGACGTCAAAAGCCGAGCTCTACGTGCCTGGGAGGCTGGTCATTGGGCTAAGGCTACCTGGGAGGAGAGGGTTCCAAAACCTCGTCCTACCTCGAAGTTGGCCCTGCAGAACACCGTCTACATCATCCTCAAGGGCCCCAATATTTCAAGGCCTGTCCGTGTGTCTTCAGCCGCCGAGTACTACAAGTTGCTCCCCAAGTTTGAGGATTCCATTAGTCACGCCTTCCCGTCCATCTCTGAGGGAAAGGTTTATTGCCTTGCAGCCGGGGTCGCTTTCCCGGATCCCCCTGAGACCTCACAATGACAGAGAAGGTGAAATTCCTCGACCAGGGCACGTACTTCATTCAGGTTCTTGCATTGGAAGCTCTTCAACCTGGAGGTCCTCGTGTACAAGAATGTTTTGTGATCCCGGTGATGTCCCGGGCGAGTGGGGTTCTGCTAGCTTTACCTGCCGGCTACCTTACAGAGTCTCTCCTGCAAGCAGGCATGACAGCAGGTCCGGAGGACTTAATTGGGCCTTCGAAGCAGCTGACAGTTCCTGGTGTTTGGGAGGAGGTGGATGGAACGGAACTTTCATCGGGGGAGGACATCGAAGTGGTTTTGGTGGACTTCCATCGGAGGATTTTGGAACAGGTCAGGGACTTCGAGCCTGTCACCGAGGGCCCTGGGATCCTTGCTTTCTCGGCCGATCATGCGGAGGTGTTCCCAGAATCGAGTTCCCTTCTTCTGGGGACCTATTCGTGGTTGGAAGAGGGTGGCGAGGGCAGGACTCAGTACTACTCTGCAGAGGAGCCGGTGACTTCAGCTCTACCTGTCGAACCAGCTCCGAAAGCCAATGCTTCGAAGGCCAGAGCGAAATCTTCTCCTGGTGGGCCTTCAGCTCCTTCGAAGAGAGTGACTACTGCAACTTTGGCAGAACAGTTGGCAGAGATATCAAAAAGTCTCCCTGTTCTGTCGTCCCGCTTGGATCAGGTCTTCGAGAGGCAAACACGGGTAGAGGGCCTGCTTTCCTCACCTACGGCCCCCGCCAGCTCATCCGTACCAGCCCAACGACGCCCCTTCGAGGTGTCTGGATACCAGGGCCCAAAGCCTTCCCCTACGGCTTTCTTGAGAACCATTGGCAGTCCGCCCAGGGTTCAAGCCCTCAAGGAGAGCCCCCACCAAGACAGACATGTCTCTTTTCCGGAGGACGAGCCCAAGCAGATTCCCTCCGAGCCAGACTTCGCGCTTGCGAACCCCCCAGACCCGACCTCCGAGCACGGGGGCATATCGGCGGCTATTTTCCAGCAGTCCCAGGCTCTTGCAACATTGGTGGCTCATCTTGTCAATCAGGATGGCTTCTCAGATCTTGGAACTGCCAGCGGGTCGTCCAGCATGTCGCTGAAGGGCTCGGCGAAGAGAGAGAAATTGATGAGCGATCTATCGCATCGGCGTGGAGATTTTCTGCTCAAGATTGCTCAGAATGCCTTCAGGAGGTTGAAGCCGTCGGAGAGTGTCCCACGGGATCTGCCTGGTTTCAGGGGGAAAGCCATCTTCTCAAAGTATGTCGAGAGGAGTGGAGGTTTTGCAGGTCAGAGGGACCACGGCCTCTTCATGTGGCTTCTTTGTCAGATTGCAGATGCCATGGTGAGTGGCGACGACAAGGGTGCTCAGGAGTTGCTGGCCCTGGCTATGGTTGCAGTGGAGCAGAGTGCTCAGGACGGCGGGAAGTGGGAGGTGGCCTGGATTCTTTCCCTACAGGAGGACCCACCGACAGGGGTGTTTTCCAACAGGCCTGCTTCGACCAATCCAAGGCTCCGGGCTTTCTCTCCTCTATGCCCTGCAGAGTGGGCTGCGATCGCTCTGTCCTTTGTCAAGGAGGTGGATATCATCAATACCCGTCGCCAGGAGGCGCTGCCGACGAAGAAAGGTGGCCAGAAAGGCCAAGGGGAGGAGGATCCACAGAAGAAGAAACCTCCACGGTTCCCAAAGAAACCCAAGCAAGGAGGAGATCAGAACGCCTGAGTGAAACCGCCGAACAAGGTGATTCCTTTTGTGTTCAGCCTCCTCTCTTGACTACAGGGGGCAGTGACAATCAAATGGCCGACTATGACGTCCTTTGTTCCGGAAGCTCGGATAGTTTCTGCCAGGACGATGGCCTTCGACAACAAGCAAAAGAGCAGCCTGTTGTTGCTGAGGAAGATGGATCTGGGACTTCTCCTGATGCTACTATTTGGGGGAGGATGCAGACTTATTCCTTTGAGCAGTGGGCGTCTTCTCTTTGCGCTGCAGTTTTGAGATCTCGTACTTCCTTTGCGATGTTTTTGAGGTCTACTCTCCAAGCTCAGAGACTGCTACCTTGCAGATCTACAAAGGCTCTTTTTCCTCTACCTATTCCTGCCCCTGGTATCTTCCAGAAGAAGGCGAATGGTTCCAGGCATCGGAGGAGGCTCGCTTTCAATCAGGCCTTCCACGTGTGCATCATGGCTCTCAATTTTTGGCATGCAGATTTCAAGTTCGTGCCCATAGAGTCACTTGCCTTGGAACCTTCATCTCAGCAGCAGGAGATTTTGGCAAGACTGAGGAACCAGTTGCGAGCCTTCGGTAGCTCTGGTGACGCTTTCAGTGTCCCTCAGAGTGGCCGGCGAATCACTACTTTGGTGTCCCTACTGGCTGACCTCTCGGAATTTGTGACCTGGGAGGGCATTGGTGGAGATGCTTATTCTAGAACGTTCCCTGGTGCCGTTGCTGGTTTTGGTCATCTGGCGAAGGTTGAGAGAGATTTGGAGCGCGCCGAAGAGCTTCGTCCCTATCGTTCGCTTGATCCTTCTCGGCTGACTTTGTCAGGCACGGCTTCGTGGGATCCGGAGCCATACTTGTCGGACTTGCTTTGGATGGCCTTCAATGAGCCTGAAAGTCTTCGTTGGGCGGCCCAGGAAAGGTCTTGTAATGTTCCTGACCTTTCGAAAGAAAGCTATGACCTGACCAAAGACCTGGCCCTATTGTGGGACATCAATGGCTTGCTCTTCTTGAAGGAACCACCTGAGGAGCATGAAGAGGACTTGTCGATGAGGTTTTTCAATTGCTTCAAGAATGATGATACTGATCGCATGATCGGTGACCGCCGCTCTCGGAACTATGTAGAGGGCCGCCTTGCATGTGTTTCAGGAGGGCTTCCTACTGCGCAGTCGCTCCTGGATCTTGAGATTCATTTGCCTGCTCAGCGAATCTCTATTTGTGCTTCGGATCGCAAAGACTTCTACCACCAGATCAAAGTGCCAGACCGCCGAGCGAGGTCGAATGGTATCTGGCCTCTTCTTCGCCTCTCCGACCTTGAGGGCACTAAGGCATTCAAGCTATGGTCTTTGGCTGCCTCTGGACGGAAGAAGTATGCTCGTGAGGTGGAAGGAGACTTTCTTGGCTCTGGCCGCAAGAGGAGGACAGTGCTGAAGGATCAACTCCGATTGCAGGCATGTTTTGGCTCTGTTCCCCAAGGTGATCATCTTGGAGTAGAGTTTGCTACTGAAGCCCACAGAAACTTCTTGCAGGACAGAGGGTTGTTACAGCCTTCTGAGGAGCTTCGCTCAGGCTCTCCCTTTGAAGGTGATGATGTGGCTTCTGGGCTCGTTATTGACGATTTCTATGCTGTATCATTTGAGGACGCTGCCCTGAGTCGTTGTGATCCAGAAGAGCTCGAAGAAGGAAGCAAGCGGCCAAAGGCTGTTGACAGGCTGGAGAAGGCTACCCTGGCCTACTCCGAAGCTGGTATGATGGGTTCTCCTCACAAGGACCTCTATGATGTCGAGAAAGGCAAGATCATGGGAGCAGAAATTGATGGCTCCTCCTATGTTCGCAGTTTGGGGATGACAACGGTTGCATGCCCTGCCCAGCGTCGATTGGCATTGGCATATGTTTCCCTTACCTTGGCTGCTCAGGCTTGCACCACAGATGCTCTTCATGCCTGTTTGGTGGGAGGGTGGACTAGTGCCCTTCTGTACCGCCGACCTTTCATGTCCATCTTGCAGAAGGTCTATTCAGTGCCAATGTCAGAGGTGGACCAGAATGAGCCCAAGATCATCCCCCTGCCGAGGTCTATGGCAGAGGAGTTTGTGTCGCTGGCTGTCCTTTGCCCCTTCATCAGTACAGATATTTCTGCTGAGGTTCAAGGAGCTTGCTATGCCACGGATTCCTCTGATGCCAAAGGAGCAGTTGTAGCATGCAGCATACCAAGGAGTCTGTCCCGAGCACTTCTTCGTACAAGCAGGAGAAAATCCTCTTACACCAGGATGTTGAAAAGACATGAAGCCGTTCTCAAAAAGATTGACTGGCTCTTCGAGGAGTTTGAAGAGCATGAGAATGACATCGTTTTTGAGGGACCAGAGGTTGAGCGACCACGGGCATTTCGGTTCCACTTTATTGAGATTTGCGGAGGTGCCGGAAAGGTCAGCAAAGAAGTTGCCGCCTATGGGTGGATTGTGGGGCCTGTCATTGATCTCGATCGGTCTCCTGCTTACAACTTTGCTCTCCTACGGGTCCTGGAATGGATCTTGTTCATGCTGGAAGAAGGCAGATTGGATTCTTTTATGGTGGAACCTCCGTGCACTACATTCAGTCCTGCTCAGTATCCTCCTTCGCGCAGCTATGCTTGCCCTAGGGGGTTCAATCCAAAGGATCCGAAGACCTTGACAGGTACGACTCTTGCCCTCCGTGCTCTGACCTTGATGAAGGTTGCGGCTACTTACCGGACTCCTGGGCTACTTGAGCAGCCGCGCAGATCCAAGATGAAGAGGCTGTCGGAGTGGCAGTACCTGGTCAACCAAGGCCTTTGTGAGGAGGTATGGTGTGCATCTTGCATGTATGGAAGCCCCCACCTCAAGGAGTTTGTCTTCCTGATTGCTGCCATGGATGCTTCGTCTCTTCACCGAAGATGTGACGGCTCCCATCGTCATATCAAGATTGAGGGCAAGTGGACAAAGCCGTCGGCCACCTACACTGATGAGCTTGCATTTGCTCTTGCAAGGGTGTTTCATTATGCCCTCCAGTCGAAGTTGATAAACCTCTCCCAAGAAGAGCCTGAGGTGGACGGCCTAGAGAACGTGATGGTGAATGACATCATGCTTTCAAAGGAATGGCATACTCAGAAGGTGTGGAGGTGGAAGAAGCCTTCTCACATCAACATCCAGGAGATTCTCGCAGCAGAGCGTCTCATGAGGCAGGAAGCTGTCCGCCACCCATCTACCAGATTTCCTGTCTTCATGGACTCCAACGTTGGTCTTTCTGCGCTGGTGAAGGGCAGATCTCCATCAAAAGGTCTGAGGAGCTCACTGAGGCGGTGCGGTTCCACTATTGTTGCGGGCAATCTCTACCCAGGTTACCACTTTGGGCCTACTCGTTGGCTTCCTGCTGATCATCCTACCAGAGACCATGACTTCCCCGAGGTCTGTCGCAGTTTGATTCCACAGGAGGCTGAATTCAAGGACTACATCCCATTGCTGAAGTTGTCAGGGATGAAAAGACTCGCTTCAAATTGGTGCAGGCTTGTACTACTCCTTTATGGCCACCTTCCGGCATGGTGGACCGATACTGATTCCTGGAGATATGCCCATGTCAATTTCAAGCACTACCCCGTCAAGCGCAGAGGCACTTTGAGCAAGCAGATCGTCGACTTTGATGCTACTCTAGGCTATCCCGGTGAAGGGCCCTTTGAGAGCAGTGCTGATGCCTCCTTTCCCAAGCTCCCTCCCTTCGTCAAGACTTGCTGGTCTTCACGGGATTTGTTGGGAAGTAGGCTTGGTCTTGGCCTCTTCCAGTGCCTGGATTTGGACTTCTGTGCACGCTCAACATCTTGCTCCGTTTCCAGGCTCGCTCTCCGGCGAGGTCATCGCTTTCCTGTCGGAGCTGAGGCTTTTTGGATCTTACTGACTTTGTTGGGAAGTGGGTTTGGCTTTGGCCTCTTCCAGTGCCTGGATTTGGACTTCAGTGCACACTCAGCATTTTGCCTCGCTTTGGTCGGTGGATTTTGGTCTGCTCTGCTCTGGTTTCAGCGGTTGTCAAGACTTACCGCACAGCAGCGTCCTCGCCTGTCGGCCGGCCGTCTTTCCTCGCTGCGGAAGGCTTCTCCTCCTCACTCCTGCTCCTCCTCCGGTTTGACCCCCAAAAGGTTCTTAGGGATCTTGGTCTTGATGTGCTGCCCCAGTCTAGCTAGTGTTCATGTGGTTCGCCATGGCCCTACGCTGGTCCCACGTGATGGTGCCGACAAGGCCCGTGCTGAAGGAAGGGGTGAGCTCGAGTTGCCACAGGGACGTCCTGTCCTGCCTGCAACTCAGAAGCATAGAGACAAGCTGCTGGCAGTTTTTTCGGAATGGTTGGATGGCCATGGTATAAGCTTGGATGAGCTCCTCATGTGCGCCTCGCCAGATGTCGAAGCATTGAATGTTTTGCTGGAAAAGTATGGCAGGGAGCTTTTCAGGTCAGGACGACCATACGGTCACTACTCCGAGACCCTGAACGCAGTCTCGGCACGACGGCCAAGGATCCGACGATCCCTACAACCTGCTTGGGACCTTGCCTACAGTTGGCTCAAGCAAGAGCCTCCGAGCCACCATTTGGCTCTCCCTTTCCAAGCGCTTCTGGCGCTTCTGGTTACGGCATGGATGTGGGGCTGGAGCAGAGTTGCTGGAGTCTTGGCACTGTCCTGGGGTGGTTTGACCAGGATAGGAGAAGTGCTACAAGCCACGCGTCAGAGTCTCATCCTGCCTGAAGATGTTGGTTGGACGGTGCAGTTTGCATTGCTACAGATCTCTGAGCCAAAGACGAGGTTCAGATCAGCAAGACACCAAGTTGCTCGCCTTGACCAGCCACAGCTCTTGAAGGTCGTGCAGTATGCCTTCAGCAGGTTGGGACCGATGCAAAAGTTGTGGCCAGCATCGCCCCAGACTATGAGAAGCAGGTTTCAACGCCTGCTTGAGTCGCTTTCCCTCGACAAGTTGCCTGGAGACATCGGCCGGAAGATCGACCTGGGATCCCTGAGGGCAGGAGGAGCCTCGTGGCTCCTTCTTGTTAGCGAAGACAGTGAACTCACAAGGAGAAGGGGCCGCTGGATCACCACAAAGGTGATGGAAATCTACATCCAGGAGGCATGGGCAATTCAGTTTTTGTCACGCCTCCCGTCCTCGGTTCGAGAGCAGCTCTTGAGCGGAGCTGTTTTGTTTCAATGGGCTCTGGATTTGGTTGGCAGTTGGTGGCAGGCAGCCATTCCAGAGAGTGCATGGCCGATTTTGTTTCAGGCTGCCGCGAAGACTTTCGAGTTGGAACAGCTGGGCATGAAGCAGATGGGTGATGGAGGAGCTGTCTGTAAAGACGACAGCACCTGTGTACAACCTCCATTGAG